CTATGCTTGTCATCTCTATAGTTATTTTAGTTAGGTTATCCAGATTTACAGATACATAGGTCGGATGGACAGGTAATCTTCATAGACCTAGAGAAGATGGCATTTAAATAACTTAGAATTCTGTTGACATGAGACACAATTGCTCCTGGCAAAAATAATTTGATTCCAAGAGAACGTTGGGCTTCTAAGACATTTCCATTTGGAAGTTTGTGTTCATGGCACAAAATGGCCTATTGAGCAAAGAACTGCCCTTGCCTCAACTGCTGACAATATAAGTGCTGTCCTTCTGGGTTCTATATGAAAGAAGACTTGGCAGGTCATAGGGAGCAACAGAATAATGAGCACCCCCCCCCCCCATGGCCTCTGCATCAGCTCTTTCCTCCAGGTCTCTGCCCTGTTTGAGTTCCTGTTCTGATTCCCTTTGATGACATGGAAGTGTAACCCAGATAAACTGTTATCTCCCCAATATGCATTTTTTTTTCATGGTGTCTCATGACAGCAAATAAACCAAAACTAAGACACCTACCTGACAACTTGCTTTAAAAAGAAATAACCATTTGTGGAAAATCAAAAGAAGTTCTTAATGACTGAGAGACATCAAAAATGTAGGAACAACAAATTAGTGACCTATGTACAAAAAAATGAAATAAAAGAGAAGAAATGTGGTGTTTTGAATGATAATGGCCTCCCTTAGCCCATATGTCTGAAAGCTTAGTCATCAGGGAGTGATACTACTAAAAAGAAATTAGGGGGTGAGGAGTTGTTGGAATAGGTGTGGTCTTGGTGGAAGACGTATATCACTGGGGGTGAGCTTTTAGGTTTCAAGGGCCAAAGCCAGGCCCACTGCTTTTCTCTTTTCCTGCTGCATGTGGATCTGGAGGTAGAAGTATCAGCTACCATGGCTGCCTGGGTGCTGCCACGCTCCCCACCATGATGATAATAGAATAAACATCTGAAACTGTAATGAAATGCTTTCCTTTAAAATACTTGCCTTAGTCATGCTGTCTCTTCACAGCAATAGGACACACAGAGACAGAAACTGGTGCAGGGAACAGGGTACAGCTGTGACAGGCCAGACCATGCTGCTTGTTGGTAGATTGTGGACTTTGGCAATTTGGATTAAGAAAATGGCTGAATATTTTAAGGGAGGGATAGTAGGCCATATTAGAAAGAGCTTGGAGGCAGTGGTGCAGAGACAAATGTAGACAATGATGGTCCTCTCAAGAGAATTTAGTGGAGAATATTAGTAAGGGCCATAGAGACTATTCCAGTGCTATTATGACAAAGAATGTGGCCACTTTGGGCCCTGCTTTCTGAAGGAGACTAAATAGAAGAGGTTTACATTAATGGCATTGGGAGAGGAGATTTCAAGACAGACTAGTATTTACTCGACACAGTGGTTATTTGTGGTCACTCTTGTGGAGATTTACAATGAAAGGGAACAATCTTTGCCCACATGTCAATCTGATTATGATACCTACTGAATGATCTCCAGTGCCCAAACACAGACTTTTAATCAAACCTCAACTCTCTGAACATTCAGTTTTCAGTGTGAGATTCTGCATACACACACAAAATTCTGATAATCTGTCAAGTCTAGGAGTGGAGAAGTGGCTCAGTAGTGAAGGCCACATATTGCTCTTGGAGAAGACATGAGTTTTATCCCCAGATCTAATATGGTGATGCACAATCATGCCTACATCATCTTGCAGAGGATCTGATGCCCTCTTTTGTCTTTTATGGGCACCAAACACTCATGGAGAACATACATACATGGATGCAAAACACCCATACAGTTGAAATAAAATAAGTAAATTCAGTAAATTAAAAACACAAACCCCAAATCATTTATATGTCACCATGGATAAACAGCCATGCAAACATAGAAATATAACAAACACCTGTAGGTAAAACTACAAATTAGTAATTAAAAGAATCAAGGAAGTAGATAAAAGGATAGAATTCCATGACTGTAGACACAAAGATTCACTACTATGTCAGTACAGATGTGAGCTATAGATTCAACAAAAGTCCCATAAAATGTCTAACTGTTAATGCTATCAACAACAGAAAAAAGAAAAAAGATCACCATGAAGAATAAATGATCTACACAAGACTGAATAAATAGCACACATATACAAACTAATTCAATTCAGAAGTTCTTTGTACTATACAGTATCTCTCTGCACCTATTGTCTCTTCTCATGGGCATATAAAAATTTGAAGTTAATAAACCACTGTGTAATCTAACTTTGGGAGTTTTGATGCTGACAGATAATGATTGGATCAAATTTGATATTGGGACCTCCAGAAGGCCCACTCAGAACATTTCCCAATGTCAAAGGGTTACCTTGTCTGTCCCTTTATGATCTGGATCCAGTACAATGCCAGCCTTTGTCACACCTTCTGCGTACTCCAGAAGGCTCAGACGTTTTTGAATTATCTCTAGAAAAAATGATGAGCATTCTATGCAGAATGTTCTATCCACAACATTCCCTGGATTTATTAAATATTGCACTGTACTCATGTTCATTGCCATAACTGAGTTTTGGGTCTAGAAGCTCAAAACTATCTACTAAGCCCATCTACCACCCTCTTGCCATCACCCAATGTTCCACACTAGTTATGTTTCCCTTTCACAGTGAGCTTACACTCCCTGGTGGATACTTGTGATGTAGGTGGCATATCAGAAGTTGTAACATGTGAAGTGTTGCAGAGTATGAGAATCACAGGGAGAGTGTAGGGAGTCATGGTGTGATGGGGCTAGCTGAGCACAATTGGTAATGTCCAGGATGATATACCAGTGCAGGAGTTCTAGTCATCCTGCAGGCTGAGGAAGGTGGTCCCTAAGGCTTTATCTTGCAGAGGTGAATGAAGGAGACCGAATGGCTGAGCTGTCTCCTCAGCAGCCCTGAGCTTGCATCAGTTGAATTTATAGCAAGACACAACCACACACCTCTGTACCTAAATCAAAACCCGAACTTCAGTGGTCATACATGGCTGGAGCAGGGACATGTCCCTGAGGCACCTGGCCCAGGCTAGATCCAGCAAGCTATCCCTCTACGTACAGAGAGAGTTTTCTCTATGTCCGATTACCTGACTGTGTTCCACAGAGCCGATAGCAACTAGATTCTCTGCAGCAAGACTGTCATTTGGCTTCTCAGTGCCTCCTCCTCCAAGAGGTAGCCAGGATAGCCTGTTGCACCTTCAAAGCCTCCTTCAGCAGAAAGGCTTCTTTGGCAACTTGTGTAATCTGGAGGGGGCAGGGGTTTCATGAGGGGCCACACTGAGCCAGGATGCAACCAGGGACCTCTTTACTGGAACTTGGTACAGGGTACCAGATTCACGACAGTAGTTAACCCAACTCAGAACCTGTGTTTGAATACCCCAGGTGCTGAAAATGTTCCTCATTTAAAAGTTTGGGAAGGAAAAAATTCAAACAATTATTTTGTTACCCTTGACAGGATAACGGATCATGTTTTGATGTTCGTCAAATCATGGCATCCAGATTTGCCTCTTCAGGGGGGAAGTATTCAGCTTCTAGGGATTTGAACTTGATCTCAGGTAAAACAAAGTACAAAAGGAGTGAACTATATAGGGCCAGGATGACAAACAGGAAAAGTAAAGCGATATGTAGACAATACAGCCATGAATTTATGAGGATGTGATTTGTTACCACAATCAAAAACACAGAATATCTTTTAATGACTCAAGGCCCTGTGTACTCACAGCAAAAGTAAACCAGGCACGGTCCACTGTCTGAACTTCAGATGAGCAAACACTTTGTCCATTTGGCTGAGATAGAAAGCCATAATGCCTCCCCTATCCTTAGGGTATATCCATTGGCATATCTTCAGGAATTCTAGAGTCTGGAGATGCCTTTCAATACCCAATAGCCCATAAAGTCAACTTGGAGTATAATATCAATTTATGAAATGCCAACTTTGACCTGTGACCTCCACACATGCACATTCACACAAAGAACACACACAAAATGATACAACTGAGGGCTAGTGAGATGATTCTGGTGTTAAAGATACTTGCAGCCAAGACTGTTTTTCTATCTGAGATCCTTCCCTGAGAACATGGCTGAAGGAGAAAATGGATTCAGGAAAGTTGTCCTCTGATTCCCACACATGCATGCCCTCCCCCCTATATTAATAAATACCTGCAATCTTAAAAACTTTATAAGAGTACACATGGGATACATGGGTTCAAATCCTGCTAATTGTCCATTTATTGTCTTTCGCTTTTGAGTGACTTCACCTCCCTATGCCTGTTATTCAGAAAGAAGTAAGTATACCACACTTGTTACCATAGTTACAATAACCAGTTGAAACAATACCCAGAATTGCTCTAGCCACAATTGTCTTCCTTCTCTGTTTCAGCTTCCCATGTGAGAAGTGGAAGGATTTTGCAATACTTTACCACCTGGGAGCTTTTTCAATTTTGTGTAATCTCAGCTTAGTGTGCTCCACCAGTGAGGAAGAAAGAAGTCTCCTTTTCATCATTTCCTTGTCCTTGTCCAGGGACTCCTGGGAACAGCTCTGGCCCTGGCATGCTCACTCAGCCTCTATATGAGGTAACTGAACCTGCAACTAAGCCATGACCATGGACTCAGTAGTGTATATCCTCTCTTCATAAGCAATGCCTCACACTGCATTTGTGGCCCTAGCCCACATGAGACTCTCAGGACACTTCGACCTCAAAGAGGATTGAATCCTGGGCCTCTTCCCATCCTTCCATGCTGAAATGCTGGCATTCCATTTCAAGCAAGGTTCTGGAATATAATCCAACCGTGGAAACATTCTGATCTTGTCAGGCATCTCTGGCTACTACCTTTGAGCCCCAGGACACACAGTTAGGCCACTCTGTGCTCTGGCTTGCTCACTCCCTGTTCTCCAGGTACTTAGGAAGCCGAGGCCAAGGGGCAGGATTCAAGGGCTACACTGTGAGTTCTAGGGCTGTCTAAGAAACTAGATAGACTCCATCTCAAAACACACACACACAGTTTATTTTAACAAAAGTTTGTGTTTGCAGTTTTGATTTGGTTTTGAGGCAGGTTCTCAGTGTAGACCTGTAGATGAAAAACTCAGCTACATCAATGTTTTCATAACAGATGGCGATCATTGGATAGAATACTTGCTCAGCACACACAAGACCTCTGCATAAACAGGGCATGGTAGTAAAACCTGTCATCATAGTAACTGGAGGTGGAAGCAGAAACGTCTGAAGTTCAAGGTCAGCCTGAACTTCATCAGCCTGTTTTAAAAAACAAACAAACAAAAAATCAACAATTAACAAAAAAATGTCAGTGCTCAGTGTTCATCATGGCATGGCTCAGCAGGTAAAAGTGCTTGTAACCAAGACAGATGGACCTGGTGTGGTCCTCAGAACCCACAGGGTAGAAAGGAAGAACTGGGTCACACAGGCTGACATCTGAGTTTAAAGTATACTGTTCATATGGACTCACAAAGGTAAAAATAATAAAATGAATCTTAAAAGAAATGAAAAGGGATGAGAAATTGTTTAGCAGTTTACCACCTGGCATGGACTGCACGGTGACCATTGCTGTTTGACAAAGTTCCAGCATTTCCTCATTGCCGATCTTAATTCTCCAGCATCATTTTTATTTCAATTTTAATAATTCTCACTAAATGTTATGTAGTTTCCTTATGCCTTTTACTGTGGGAAATTTGTTTTGCTGGCTACACTGGAGGATGGGAACATATACATAGGCAAGGCAGTCTTTTTAAACAAAATTCTTGGAAAAAATCCCACCACCATGGAACCACACAATGTGACTACTGTGCCTACTCCCACACAAGAAGCCCCATTGTGTCCCCCTGATTACACCAAAAATAGAGAACTTAAACATTTACTAACTGGATACACCTAGTTCCAGGGATGAAAGCAACTATGAAAGGAAACAATGGGTTCACATCCAGAAAGGCATGAAGATACTTGCTGAATTTATCACTTTTTGCCCCAGAAAAAATGCTGTAATGTGGTTGATGGCTGCTTTTATCCTGGAATCATTAAGTCTGTTTTTATCCTGCTTGAGTCTAAACTAAGAATCAGTTATACAGCATAAAATGTGTAGTTGTTTTTCAAATCATGTGAGTCTCTTTCCTCTACTGATGCCCGATCTCTTCTTTGGGACCTGAAGCCCTATGACACTGGACTCCAGCAAGTACCTCTTATAGAAAACACAATTCAGTTTCCAGCACCCACATGGCAGCTCACATCTGAAATTACCACATTGGTTATATCCATATGGTACTGGCTAGTATGAATTCTTTCATGACTTAGAAGGCTACTCTTCTGTACAAATGCTTTACCACATTGATTACATTCATAGGGTTTCTCTCCTGTATGAATTCTTTCATGACTTTGAAGACTAACCTTCTGAGCAAAGGCTTTACAACATTGGTCACATTTATACGGTTTCTCTCCAGTATGAATTCTTTCATGACGTAGAAAGCTACTCTTATGTACAAAGGCTTTACCACATTGATTACATTCATAGGGTTTCTCTCCAGTATGAATTCTTTCATGATTGTGAAGAATATTCTTCAATGCAAAGGCTTTACTACATTGGTCACATTTATAAGGTTTCTCTCCACTATGAAGTCTTTCATGGGTGAGAAGATGACTCTTCTGTGCAAAGGCTTTACCACATTGATTACATTCATAGGGTTTCTCTCCAGTATGAATTCTTTCATGACTTTGAAGATAAATCTTCTGTGCAAAGGTTTTACCACATTGATTACATTTATATGGTTTCTCTCCAGTATGAATTCTTTCATGACCTAGAAGGTTACTCTTCTGTACAAAGACTTTACCACATTGATTACATTCATAGGGTTTCTCTCCAGTATGAATCCTTTCATGCTTGTGAAGACGACTCTTCAATGCAAAGGCTTTACCACACTGATTACATTCATAGGGTTTCTCTCCACTATGAATTCTTTCATGGGTTAGAAGATAACTCTTTCTTGCAAAGGCTTTACCACAATGATGACATTCATAGGGTTTCTCTCCAGTATGAAGTCTTTCATGACTTTGAACACTACTCTTCTGTGCAAAGGCTTTACCACATTGATTACATTCATAAGGTTTCTCTCCAGTATGAATTCTTTCATGGCTGAGAAGATAACTCTTCATTGCAAAGGCTTTACCACAATGATTATATTCATGGGGTTTCTCTCCAGTATGAATTTTTTCATGACTTTCAAGATGACTCTTCCGTGTAAAGGCTTTACCACATTGATCACATACATATGGTTTTTCTCCAGTATGAATTCTTTCATGACTTTGAAGATTCCTCTTTTGTGCAAATGCTTTACCACATTCATTACACTCATAGTGTTTCTCTCCAGCATGAATTCTTTCATGACTGCGAAGACTATTCTTTCTTGTAAAGGCTTTACCATATTGATTATATAAATAGGGTTTCTCTCTTGTATGAAATCTTTTATGACTCTTAAGATTTCTCGTCTCTGCAAAGGCTTTATTACATTGAATATATTCATATGGTTTCTCTCCAGTATGAATTCTTTCATGTCTGTGATGATCACTCATCTGTACAAAGGCTTTACTACAATGATCACATTCATAGTATTTCTCTCGAGTTTGAATTCTCTGTACATGATGATGAAGACTGTGACATACAAAGGCTTTATAACTTTGATTATACTCATAGAGTTTTCCTTCCAAATGACTTCTTTGGTATACTTCTAAAGAGCAATCAGATCTAAAGGCTTCATCATGTTGATTACATTCATAGAGAGCCTCTTCGTTATTGGTTCTTTGGTGTGTTTGACGATGCCTGTCAAGCCTAAAGCCTTTAGTAGATGTCTCATATTTATTATTTTCACTTCTCACATGAGCTTTTTCACATCTTTGAAGAGAACTTGAAGAACACAGGGTCTGACCACACTGATTGCACTCATAACATTTTCTTATACTGTGAGGCACACTACATGTGCACAATGAACCAGTAGAGAGAGATGAATTTCCATATTCCTGGCACTCATAAGGTTGTACTCCAATGAAAGTTTTTTGATAAATTCCCACTGAAGTTGGAAAACCAATTAATTGTAAACTTGTATCACAGTCATCACGTCTTCTCATAGTGGGGACTACCACATATCTTCCAGTTGTTCTGAGAGAGACAGAAGTACAATGCTTCCTTCCATGTCCCTTATGCTCACATGGATTGTATCCAGAGTAACAAATGACACACCTGCTAAAGGAAGATAACAAATAAAGGGTTTTCACATTGCATTCCCATAGTTGAATGTTTTGTGTGTCATACAGATGTGGAATAGAGGTTCATGTTTATACACCAAGACAGCCTCCTGGTCTCTCATAAAGTGCTCCTCTCACTAAACTATGCTAAATCACTCACTACAAGTATATGAGCAACACTAGCTTTAATACCAAAGCTTTGCTTATAAAAGGCCTTGGCCATAAACTAATGCCCTCATCAATGATATCATAATTGTAAGGCATGATGGTAATTGGATACACAGTTCTACAACATGCCTCTCACATGGCTATGATTGAAACTGTGACATCTACTATGGCATTATTTCCTTGTCTTGTCCTTAAAGGATTGCTTTACAAACAGTGATCAGGTACCTGACATTGGAGTACATGGTGTTGTGACAATTTAATAATCATCACAAAGCTGTGCCTATTTACACAGTTGCTTTACATTAAAAGTTCAGGACGCATTAACATTTTTTCAAACTGTTTGAAATCTCCTGCTCAGGCAGCCCCACTGCAGAAAGCCTGCCATCCGTGGCTCCTCCCCCAGAGATGTCTGGGACCATGACTACCAGCTATTTAAGACCCAGCCCATACATCTGCCATGGGTGCTCTCATGATCTGTCTCCTGCGTTCCTGAGAGCCACCTGGGAGTGCTCTGCTTTGTGCTGCTCTGTTTATTAAATCTGGATTTAGTAATTCAGTTTGCTTTGGCTTACTGCATCACTGACAGAGGAACGCAGCAACTGGGGATCATATCCTTATCTTTGGTGCAATGGCCAGGGTGAGTAGTTCTTCCACAACCATGTGGTGTGGCTGTGGAAGGCCATTCACTCTCTTTTCCCATTCCACTTTTACCACACGGAATGAACAGCTCAGTAAGCCTCCCATTCCCAAACAAAAATGTCTTAAGAAGTCCGGGACTTCTTCCAACCTCCAGACTGCCTACTGAGTCATTGCAGTGGGAGGTGACTCCAGCTTGTTTCAGGGTAGTGACAGTCATTGCCCTTGGAACTCCCCTGTGTGAGAGAGACTTCACCAGAGTCCACCCCACACACAGCTCCTAGATGTGATTTGTGTACATTGCCCTCACAACCACATCACCAGCAAACAGCTTGTGAATAAGTACTTGCTAAGTCCAAGTTCTGTCCCCAGAAACTCTGGGGTTATCTCCTCCAAATTGGGGAAGCAAGAATACTGCCCCCATTCCTCTCTCTTCCCTGTTACTCTGCATCTTTTTCCCAGTCTACAGTTTGGCCACACTGTGATTCTAATGCCCCCATTCCTCTCCCTCCCTAGTTCTGTTTGTCTGTCTGTCTGCCTCTCTCCTTCCTGGAATATGATCTGATCACACCGGGATTCTCCCTGCAATACATCCATTCTCTTTTTTTCCTGTCGGCTCTCACACCCTGAACTACTGCATAAATGTCTCCAGCCTGTTTGTCTGTTTGCTGACTCCCTCCTTCTTCCCTCCCACCAGAGATGCTGCCACCACCACCACACCACCACTATTACCACCACTAACCTCCACCACCTCCAACACCACCTCCACCTCCATCACTACCTCCACCACATCCGTCACCACCTCCATCATCTCCAACACCACCACCACCACTACCACTGCCTTCACCTTCAGGAATACCTCCAGCACTTATCTACTAACTCCACTATCACCTCCACCACCACCGCTGCCACCACCATCACAGCCACCACCTCGCTGCAGCCCAGGGGGCCCTGTTCCCATATTCCCCACCCCTAAAATTCTACCTGCCCACTCCACCCTTAAACCTGTTCTCCTTCAATACACTCTGCTACACCTTCCTCCCTCCTAAAAATCTCTTTTTCTGATATTCTCATCTTGCTGCTCTGACTTACTCAACTGGGCAGCATGTGCTGCTACTCTGTTTTTCAGTTTCCCTCTGCAGCACCTTCTCTGGGATCTGGGTATCAGGCTGCCAGACCTGTGAGGAGCCTCATTTAAAAAAAATGTTTCTGTTAATGATTCTGTTTACTTTTTATGTGTGGTGGAAATGTGTGAATGGTGTGGCCACACATGTGTGTTTCTGACTAGTTTTGAATGCCTGAGTTTACGTGTCCTGAATGTGTCTTGCTAAATGGGTATGTTTTAAAATCTGTAAGGCTTGTGACTCCAGATGGAAACTGTTCTAGAGAACATCACCAGTCACCATTTTGATTGAGGTTAAAGAAATACTTCACCACCATCTTTAATAAGGGTAACCACTTGGAATGGCCCCACCAAGGAGACATTAGGTCTCCAATATAATTTGGGTTAGGATATATTTCTGTTTGATAATTTCTGTCCCGTTCTAAAAACAATGTTTATTAAACAGGATTTAAAACAATGCTGGTTTTGACCACTGATATTGAAATATAAATTGTTAGCAATGTTAATACTTGGTATAGCCTGATATATCTTAGGATCACCACTGAAAACTACAGACTGAATCTTCTGGCTTTTACTAACATTGGTAAGCTGTAACTAATTGGATAAACTGTACATTTAGACTTAACTTACATATGCCCTCAAAGTTAAACCTAAACAACATTTGTCTAGTATAAATATACCTAACAGATTTTGTTCCCCCATTTTTAAACACTGTCATAGAACTGAGAATATGGCATTTAATATAACCGCTTTTTATGAGAGACATGCCAACTCCTGGAAGCATCTTGCATCTTCTCCAAGAAGATGGATGGCCACAGAAGAACTTCCACCTGGAGGCTTGCCTCAAATGTAACAAAGCCAGCCACACAGTGAAAAGCTGCTTTACACCTTTAACTGCTGCTGAGATCATGTCCAGACTATGAAGAAGTGGAGCAATGGGGTAACAATTGTCCCATTCTACCAAGACAGGTAGGCCAATCTCCCCAAATTTCTACTCCACAAAGAATTTGTCAGATCCTCTGAGCTTGGCATCTGAAGAAGTGCTACCTCTGGGACTTGTCGCCCAATGAGTATGGAGAGACTTGGGACTGCCTGGGTAACTGGAAAGCTGGCTTACTCCTGCTCATTTACTTATCCTTCTCAGTTCTGATGGTGTTTGATGACCAGGGTACTAATAGATTTGTGAGTTTAACAGCACCCCAAACCCCAAACCTACAAGCACCTTAGAAGCTCATTAGTACGTTTCCTATTAAAAAAACAGACAGGTGTACCTCATTCACATACTGCATGGTACAGGATGAACTGGTTTCAGATATAACTTCAGAGGTTCACAGTTTTAGCTTTGATATATGCAGTTTTGACAAACTGATAAACCATTTTCAGGGGTCTTTAAATTTCTGTGGATTTTACTGGTGCAGCTTTTCGAGCTAGGTTAGCACTAGAGAGGATATAGAACCCTGCAGGCATGTTCAAATCCCACCTCCATTCACACAACCTCCTTTGTTCAGTGAATTTAGACTTAAAAATATCCATGCCTTTTAACCCAAAGCCATAGCTTTTTAGTATGACACCAAGATGTAAATCTGTTCCAGTAGTTTTATGGACACCTGAAGGTTCCTGGGAAAAGGGCTTGGCTACTTTGTAGAAGTGTGGCCTGATGGAAAATAGTATCAGTGTCTAGAGCCTATTTTTGACCCCACCCATTTTTGAGCATATTCTGTAGGTTCACTCCTCCTGCCAGGGCCAAGGCCAAACCCACAGGGGGCCCTGCAGATATACCAGCGCCTGCAACAGCTCTGAGGATGCCAACCACCAAAAAGAACGCCAACTGGACAAACACTAACAGGTGGATTTCACCCACATGCCTGCTCATAAAAAGGCTCCATATCTCTTAACTCTTACTGACACATTGACAGGATGGATGCTCTCCCAACTTCCAGAAAAACAGAAGATACATGGCTCCAGTACTCCTGGAACACATCATCCCTAGATTTGGCATGCCATCTCCCCAAGCTCCTGGGACTTCATTGCTGGTACCACCTCTCCAGGAACAAGTGGGCACCTACCCAGCAACTGAAACTTTGTTTTCCAAGATGTCCCAATTAAGGGCATATCTGCCCTCATGCCTCACTCATTCACCCTTGACTCTTTTGTACAACCAGGACACTTCTCAGTTGCATTCTTTCTGGCAGTCTTCCTACTACCAATGGCTATCCCTATTCATAAGGACAGTGATAAAAAGTTATTCTTTTTTCTCCTAGCAACCCACCTTCTCCACCTCAAGAACAGATGCATGAGGTCTCCTGGACGGCAGCTATACAAATGCTTCTCCGCCCATAACCCTGCTGAGCATGGGTCCACCTGACTCAAAACTCCCCCCTCTGACATGGTCCCATCCTAGCAGGAAGTAGATAGACTTGAACCTGCTCCCATATATACCCAAAATAAAGTTGGGATGTTTACAATTTCCAGCTGATGTGGCCTCATTCCAGAAAGCCCACCATTGGTGGCTCCTCCCCCAGAGATGTCTGGGACCATGCCCATGCCTACTGGCTATTTAAGACCTGGCCCATAGAGCTGCCATGGGTGCTCTCCTGTTTTGTCTCCTGACATCCTGAGAGCCCCTGGAGTGCTCTGCTTTGCTATGCTCTGTTTATTAAATCTGGATTTATTAATTTGGTTTGATTTGACTTATTGCATCAGTGATGGAGGAACCCAGCAACCAGGAATCCAGTACTTATCACAGACATACATATATATCAGCTTGCACATGAAAATTACCTGCCATGTCTTGAAGAATTTTGATAATGTTCTTCAATATTGTGGTCTTCCCATTTGTACCCTAAAATACAGCACCAGACAATGTGATATATTACTGGAAATTACGAACAAATGAAAGTACTGTCTTACATGAACCTTAGAACAATGCCTGATATATTCACCAGAACTTTTCTTTTTTAACATTCAAAATTATAAGAGGGCACCAATCTCCAAGAAAGGCTTCTTCCATTAAGTTAAAAGCTGACAGAAAGCTCATATTCTTACCTACAATAGTGAGGTTCCAGTAGGTTTCCAGCATCACATCTTTGTAGAGACTCTTCTGGGAAGGATCCAGCAAAGCCCACTCTTCAGGAGTGAAGTTCACATGCACATCCTTATAGGTCACTGCATCCTAAGGTATCCCATATATGTACATAATAGAAATGGTGAGACTGACTGCATTGTAAATATACACTTCATTGTGAATATATTTACATAATTCTGTGTGCTTGATACATTCTATGAAATGGGTCAGTAAATATCAAATGCAGTCACCAACTGATTTTAAAAGGAAACATCAAGAGAGAATGACACCTTCCATTCCAGTGCCCACAGAATAGAATACGGCACAGCAGGAGAAATGCCTAGGAATATATACAGAGAGACATGCAAACAGAGTAACACTATTTAGTATACATCAGCAGAACTTTATCAAAATTACTAACTTCAAGAAAGGACAGACAATAAGGGTGGGTGGTGTACAACTCTAATACCAACCCTCGGGAGTCAGAGACAGGTAAAATTTGTGATTTCTGAGCCTGCCTGGTCTATGTACAAATTGCAAGGACAGTCAAAGGTACATAGTGAGACCCTGTCTCTAACAAAAAACAAAACAGAAAGCACTCAGGCCTCACTCCAAATTTCTCCCTAGAGTAAAACATTCACGCCAGTTCTATATTTGTCTATTGAACTGTAAGGCTGATCATTCCCAGGAAGCAAAGCATTTTTATTCAGTTGCTGTCTGACAGATCAATGAGTTCTCAAGAACATTAGTAAAGTAAATGCTGATCCTAAAACAGTAAAACAAACACCAAAACAGAGTGAGTATATACAGATGGGTCAACAGATAAGACCACACATTTGAAAGTAATATAAAAGTGTAAAACCATACACAAAGGTAGGGACAGTATTACACATCGACAATTCAGTGATTCAGGAGATCACTATTAATTTCATGAATGAATGCATTCTGGCTCTGAAAAATGACACCAATGCCAAAGTTCAAAAGTCATGACAGGTAAAGTTCAGCACAAGAGCAAATGCCTGACATGTACAAAAACCTGATTCAATCTGCCAAAAATATAAACATAAAAATATCAGGCAAGAAATATGGATTTTAATAAGGAAAAGCAATTGCTTCTACTTTTCCTTACATTATTTAAGAATGGAGTCTCGAATGTTGGTGATGGCATGCATACATGAGAAGGAAGGGGGCTGCTTACTTTCAACAAAACAAAGAAATGTGGTGAGACTATATTCCTCTATAAAGGCTCCTCCTCCTAAGGAGAAGTCACCAATAGTGACTCTAAGTCACAATTGTGATTGTAAGTCACCAATGAAGGCTCAGACCAAAGACAAATGCTCAAACTCAGCACACTACCTGGAACATTTTTCATTCAACCCTCAACATTTTGACACAGGTCATGACAGGCTCAAGTGAAACCACGTTGCAAAATGCATTTACTCTGATTTCAAAGATCCCCACATTATGTGATAGTCCCAATACTGTTTGAATGTACACAGGTGAAAAGGGCTCTTTAAATGCTCTTTGTACGGCAGAACCTCTTAAAGGAGTTGTATCTGGTTTTCTTTGTTCTTTTTGTTTTGTTTTCTTTTCTTTTCTTTTTACTTTTTTTTCAGCTTTCTCAGGATGTATGTGGAAATTCCATGCCCCACATTGAAACACCGAATGGACCAGGCATTTTGGGGGACAACAGCAAGCTCCCACACCATGGCATAGAGACTTATTATTAGTTATGGATGTTTGGCCTACCGTAGGTTCATCTCTGAGTAGCTCTTTCAACTTAAATTAACCTGTGTCTTTATCTACCTTATGCCCCGGGGCTTTGTACCTTTCATTCTTTCTGTAAATCTTTCCTGCTCTCTCCATGTCTGGCTGGGCGCTGCCAGACTCCTGGCCCTGCGTGTGTCCCTCTCTTTCTTCCTCATTCTCTCCTTCCTTCCTCCCTCTCTTTCTTCTGGAGCATAGATGTCTGCTCCTGTTTATTCTATCTGCCCACCAGCCCTGGGCATACCTCTTACGCCTAGCTATTGGTCATTCAACTTTTTATTTACCACTCAGGTGCCTTAGGCAGGCAAAGTGAAACAGCAACACATCTCTTCATAATTAAACAAATGCTGGATAAACAAATGTAACACATCCTTACATCATTAAACTAATGCAGCAGATACAAATATAACACCTTCACATAAGATAATATCCGCATCATAAACAAAGGTAAACAAATCTTTGTCCAGTTAAGATAATATTCCACAGCACATTACTCTTTCATTTATCCTTACTTGATTTCCAGGGCATGTGGAGAATACAGAGATAATATAACAAAATACTACATAACCTGTCTTACTGACTCTTCCCTTGCTGTGAAGCACTATGACCAAGGCAACTCTTTTTGTTTGTTTTTGTTTTTCCAGACAGGCTTTCTCTGTGGAACAGACCTGGCTGTCCTAGGAACTCACTCTGTAGACCAGGCAGGCCTCACACTCACAGATCTGCCTGCCTCTGCATCTCAAGTGCTGGGATTAATAGCAAGCAACACTACCACTGATTTAAACATTTTAACAAATTAAACCCAAAAGTCTTCAGTCCAGCAAACATGGAGAGTCACAAATCTGTTTGATCACAGCCCAGACCAGACTCAATTGGGAGAAAATGGGGCCAAGCAACATCTTGTGTCTGGGGACTGAGGAGAAGGAGAACGACCTGGATGACAACAACTGGCTTCAACGGTTACAGTCAGTTGGGGAAACATGTGGATGGACTCAACTGTCTCTGGTTGGGGTCATGGAATTCTTTCCTCTGTTCCCTAGCTGCATGGGGCCTATCTGCCTAGACACAAGGACCATCTCCTCCTACATACATGCGAACCTAATTAAAAGAGTCTTTTTAAGGAAAGGGCATAACCACGCACTTTTAATCATGGAGACTTGGGGACCCCACTGGGAACTGTGCCTAATGGAGGATGGGCTTCCTTAGCAGGGAGCAGGTCTAACCTTGAGTAGAAAGCAACCATGTGTCCATTACGTCATTATTATATTATGACAATGCAGAATTGGAGCTACAGATACAGCAAAAGTTCAATTAAATTAAATTAAATTAAAAGTTCAATTATTCCTGCACTCAGTCTAACAATTTATGCTACAAACTAAATTGCATGAGAAACAAAAATAACATGAGAAAATGTCATCATGAATGAATAATTGATCATCACAGGACTGAATCAATAGTCCATAAACACTGTAACACCATCTGACTTCTAACTTTGAATGAAATTGCAATAAAGACTGCAATGAACTGGGTGGTGGTGGTGGCACACACCTTTAAAGGAAGCACTTGGTTTTTGAGGCCACCCTGGTCTACAGAGTGAGTTCCAAGACAGCCAGGGCTACATAGAGAAAACCTATGTGGGGACGGGGGCAGACAGTACTGTCTGGGAAAGAATAAAGAGATCAACAGAACATGAAAGCATACTTAGAAATAAAAACACAATAAATATAAATTCAATTTTACCACATGAGGCCAGAAATCATAGTAAGTCTCACCTTAATGACACAGGTAAATGAACCACTATGGCATCTACATGCAAATGTGTTAATGACACAGACTTTATGGCTGCACAGAATTAACTGCAGACGGATCCCACACCTGAATATTCAGTGCCAAGTGCAGAACTTTCAGAAGACACTAGAGTGACCAGGGCTCTGCAAGTTAGCAAATCTGCCTTCCCTGCCCACAGTTTTTACTGAAAGAAATGAAAAAATGATAACCATGATCACCATGCCTTGCATGGTGACTAGGATATTTCCGCACAAAGGCTCACACTCCCCCATGCTCTGTGAAGGTGCAAACCCCGGCGATAAATCACTCAGAGGTCCTGCTTCTGCCTGGGAGTTGCAGGGACCTCAGGGGACCAAAGGGAATCACTCCAGACATCGCTTCCTGACGCCATTTCCACAGTCCCGCTGGACCCCACACTGTTCCCCATGGCTCCTCCCCACGTGGGACGCGGCCCCTCACTCACCATGGCGGATTCCCTGCTCACCCGGTCGCCTCGGGGCTCCCAGCAGCCAGTCACAGCCCAGCACACAGAACAGGAGATCCACCTTTAACCTCTGAGCCACAGATCATGCAGCAGGGCAGACCGGAAGTGCCCTCCGCATTTTGATTGGCAGTCCACCTGGAGGTCCTGACTGGCTACTGAGGCCTGAGTGATCTAAACAGCCCCCTTAGGGACAGTGCTGTGAAGTGAGGGAGCCCAATGATTGGCAGTCCTGGCTTTCACCCCAGTCACAGAAACTGCCCCAGATCTGCAGAGATTCACATTGATGCACAACTTGGGGCTGGATTGCAAAGTCTTCCCTGAACTATTCCTGCATTCAGGAGGACTCTTTTCTGGGGATTTAGGTTTTGCTATGAACTGAGAAAGGAAAAAGGAAACCTACCACTTTCTGGACTAGCAATACCTCAGGCGTGCTGTAGAAAACGTGCTATGATTTTCATTTTTGTATATATTATGTATATATATATGATATAAAAAAACCACCTATACACTAATATGCATTCTCTTAAACTGTTAATCTGTAGAAAAGGCCCATCAATATAAATACAGGATTTAGAGAAGTAACCCTACTGGATCAGAGTGAGCTTTTTACTTATATCTATATTTACTAGAGAGCCTCAATACTCTAATGACTAAATTATATGTAATTTATATATTTATTTATCATAAATATGTAAATTTATATATTTAATTATTTAAATATTAAATATATATGTTATTGCCCATTTGACATAGGAGTCTACTGTGGTGATATTGTGTCCCCCAATATATTGTGCACCCTAATAAACTTATCTGGGGTCAGAAAACAGAACAGCCACTAGATAGACATAGAGGCCAGAAAATGAGAGCACACACCCCTTTAATCCTAGCATTCCAGAGGCAGAGGTCCATCCAGATCTCTGTGAGTTCAAAGCCATACTGGAAAGAGCCAGGCATGGTGACACATGCCTTTAATCCCAGGAAGTGATGGCAGGTAGCAGAAGGGTATATAAGGCATGAAGACCAGGAACTCGTGTTTTTTTAAGCTTTTAGCTTTCAGCAGCAGTTCAGCTGAGATCCATTTGCATGAGGACTCAGAAGCTTTCAGTCTGAGGAAACAAGATCAGCTGAGGAATTGGCAAGGTGAGGTTGGATGTGGCTTGTTCTGTTTCTCTGATCATTCAGCGTTCACCCCAATACTTAGCTCTGGCTTTGTTTTTATTAATAAGACCTTTTAAGATTCGTGTTACAGTCTACAAATTTGTCTCACTTCTGCATCATTAGTGAAAATAAGTAAAGCAAATTAAGAATACTTATTTTTACATCATATTTCT